GTGCCATGGCCTTTCCGCCAGTGCCCTCTTCCTCACTGGAAAAGGATGGCAGGTCACTCCTGGAGCACTTGGCCCTTGCTTGCTGCTGCCTGCCAGGGGCTATGCTTAGCTCCTTCGTGACCTCATCCTGCAACAGCCACTCTCAGCTGCAGCCTCCCTCCAGCCCTGGAGAGCGTGTGCCCAGGGGAGAGCCAGCAGCTGCCCAGCGGGATGGAGCATTGAAGGGGAGGCTTCCTTGAGTCCTTGTTTATGGAGGGGCACCCCCCGCCCCCAGTCCACTGGCACAGGGACAGCCCTGCTCCCCCTACCCCGTGCTACATGACTCTTACCTTGTTCCCCTTGTAGGGTGCAGGAGCTGAAGCTGGAGGAAAAGCAGTGCCACCTGGACCAGGAGATGCGGCGATACATGGACATGGCTCGTAAGGAGAGCACAGGGCCATGTCCCTGCTACCAGGGGAGCATGGAGGTCCTGCCATGGCAGGAGATGTGGCAGGGCCATTGAAGTTACATTGTGCCCCTGACAGCTCCGGCGACTGCAGCTGAGCCCCTCCAGCTGTCGCATTGCAGGGCTGGGGCTGAGCATGTGGAAAGCCACTGCTCTTGTGCGTCGAGGCGTCACAAGTTGACCAGCTCGATCCCTGTGCTGTAGTCCCCTCCCAACACGGGAAGATGGGCACTGACAAAAGCAGGCAAAAAACCCAGGTGTCCTGGCTCTGAGCTCTTCCGCCCCTGCCTCACCCCTTTCTCCAGGAGGGAAGAGCTGCATCTCTCCTCTGCCCACAACACCAGCTTCATGCTGGGGGCTGTGATGAGCAGCTAGCATACATGCTGTTCCTCTCCCCATTGCAGCCAAGTGGTTGAGAGTTAGGGAAGGGCTGAATATGTGCACAGACCCCACTTTTCCCCAGCATTGCTGCAGGCCAGGCAGGCATTTGGGCTTACTGGGGGTGTACAGGTCTCTCCAAGGAGGTCAGGCCTCCCCTGCTGCACTTGGGTACCCAAAACTGTTCCTGTCTGTCCAGCACCTTGGGACAGAGCTCAGAGCACACCGGCCCTGCCCTGCTATGGCAGCTGGTGACCTGCCCTCTCCCCTCCACTTGCAGAGGAGCTGAAGACACCCCAGGACCTGCAAGCTGAGAAGGAGATCCTGGAGCAGTTCCTGGAGGTGGTGCAGAGCCGTGACAAGCTGATCCGGGTGCAGGAGGAGAAGCGCCTCAGCGAGCTGGGCAGTGCGGACCTGGGCATGGAGCGCAGGCCTGAGGCCTGAGGGCACAGCCCATCACATGCCACTGCTGAGGCCTTCAGCGTGGAGGGAGGCAGCTTGACATGACCACGGCCCAGGGGCCCCATGAGCACTCTGGGAGGGGCAGGGATGGAGCAGCATGGCCCAGGCTGCACCCGTGGGCTGCTGAGCCCATTGCCAAACCCAGCATAGGGGGTGGTGACTTCCTGCCTAGCGCAGGGGTGCCCCATGCACCTCCTCTGGGAGCATTTAAGGACAGCCCCAGGGCCTGCAGCTGGCACACCTGTTGAGAGCGGGGCCCCTCATGTGGCTGGGCTTCTGCTTGTTTTTAATGTTTGAGCTGTGCTTCAGCGACCACTGGACACGGAGGTGGCAGTGCCACATCCCACATATGCACTAGGCAGGAGGCCCTATGCTAGGGCTTGTGCACTGGCCCCAAACAAGCCATAGCAGGAAGTCTGGGCTACACGTCCCTCAGCCTGCACCACCACTCAGGTTCATCAGCCTGGCTTAGCAATGCTCTTCGCTGCCCAGTGACCCCCCACCTCACCCCCTCAGGGGGTTAGTGCTTTTGCTGCACAGCTATGTTATTCAGGGGCAGGCTCCCCACATCCCACACAGCCCCATTCTCAGGGAGCCACTCAGAGCCTTTCAGTGCATGCAGCCTTGCCACAAAACTGAGGTTGTGTCCTCCAGGATGCAGGGTGCATGCAGGCAGGCAGCCTGTCCTGTGAGAGCTGAAAGCAGGAGGTAGCAGCCTCTGGCACCTGCAGGGCTGCGGTGGGGGCAGCCAGTGCAGCCTCTGCCCTCCTGCAAGCACCGGGCTCACTTACTGGTTCCTCTCCAGCTGTTTTCAGGGGCTGTGGAGCTCTGGTGGGAAGAAGTCTCAGGATAACTTGCAAGAGGATCCAGGCAGCACACATGAGAAGGGTTAAGGACCTGGGATGGGGCTAGGTAACTGCTCCATCCCTAGGCAGGCCTGCTCCTTCACCTCTGGAAGCCTCTGCCTTAAGCCTTGTGCTGCAGCCAGTGTCTGCTGTGTGCCCATCCTCCCCGGGCAGGTGGGAGCTGCTCACAGTCCCCTGCTGCTGAATCCAGCTTCACTGCTGCAGGGCTGAGGGCTAACCCACCAGAGGTGTGCAGCCCAAATGCTCCCCCTTCTGCAAGTGCTGCACCCAGGGCCGGGTGAGGCAAGGCAGCTGCGAGAATGGCTCACTTGACAGCACGACTCCCCACACTCCCATGCAGCCCAGTCACACCACGGCGGCTGTAGCTGTGTTGTAGCATTGCCACCAAAGGCAGGTAGACTATGCTGATGTGGGTTGCAGCTGTATCACCCAATGACACTAGCTGCAGCCAGTATGGTCAGAAGAGCCTGGAACCTGGGGCTGCTTGGAGGCTGCGGCCTGGGGGAACAGTTAGAGCAGAGTTGTAACAGTCAGGGAATCACGTGCCAAAAAGACACTCTGGTGCAGATGCTCTTTCCAGGTCACAAATCACTAGCTCAGGAGATTCTGACACCAAACTGCAGTTCTCTAAGAGCAGCTGTGAGAACAGGCTTGGCCACGTGGTGCTGCCCTGAGGTCTCACACTGCTGCCCCACCTGCCTCCCCGGCTCAGCAAACAGAAAAAAAAATCCATCTTGGTGTGAGGTCAGAGCTGGAGTCAGTCGCACAGGGAATCCCGGGCGGTAGCTGTATTATCAGTGCCAGAGCAGCCCCCAGGGACAGCCAGACAATCCTTGCTTCATTGCAAAGAACATCATCTGGCAGGGAAAAAAACAAGCGTGTCTTTCCTAGGATATTGCCTTTATGAGACGCCCATAGCTAGCGCATGCTGGCTGCCTGTTAGGAGAACAAACTTGGAGACGGGCGTGGAAGGTCAGGGAATAAAATGACCCTGGTCAAAAACGTTTATTGGCCTGCAAAAGGTCGTTATAAAACCCGCCACGCTCCTGTCCATTACCAAATGCTTTGTAATGTCACTTATTTAAAAATAAATTGAACTATAAAAGTCTGGGAATTGTGTGGTGCGGGGGGGCACCTGGGGCTGGCAGTGCAGTGCAGCATGCAGAGTGCCCAGGCTCCTGCAGGCTTTTGGTCCCTACCCATGCCCCCCACACCTGGCCTCTCACTTGGCGCTGAGCCGGTCCTGCAGCGACTGGAGAGCCAACCTCATCTGGTCCTCAGTGCCCTGGAGCACCTTGACTTCGATGGCATGGAAGATGTGCAGCACACCCGAGACCAGCAGCACCAGTACAGCCAGCGAGCCCAGGATGGAGAAGGAGAACTTGGGGAAGGGCTGGGGTGAAGCCCAGCCCACCAGGGAGCTCAGGCCCATCATGGCCTGCAGCAGCAGCAGGAGCAGGGCCAGGATAGCCATGCGGCCACTGGAGTAGCGCTGGCGATGAGCGGCATGCAGCCCCACCCGCACCTCGGTCCGGGCTTCGTTCATGATGTCCACCAGTGCTGGGTCTGTGAGAGGAGATGGGGTTAGCCGCAGGGAGGAAAAGACAGCCTGAGCACAGCCCCTGCTGTCCCAGACAGCTGCCTCGGCCCCACCTCGGCCACAAGTTGGGTTCTTGCCTCAACCAGGCCTTGATGTTCCAGCTCTGATGCTTAGGAGCCTTCTCATTCCCAGCCTAAATTCCTCCTGGCTACCTGATACCCGTCTGACCTTGTGCCAACCTTGTCCTGCAGCTCTTTTCCCTCCCTGGGATTTACCCTCCCCTGAACTGGTTGCAGAGCACTACCACACCCTCTGCTTAGCCTTCCCTTCGCCGGGCTGGGCAAGGCATACTGCTCCACAGAGCTCTTCTTTGGACAAAGTTGCCAGCTTGCACTCTCCATTGGTTCAGAGGAGCCCCTGAGAGGAGACTGGCCGGGGGGGGACATGACACACTCTTCCTTTTGAGACCTGGCAAGTGGCTGAGGCAGGGATTCCCTGGTTGGGGGGACGGGGAAGGGGAGGCAATCACGCTGCAGAAGTGAAGTGTTTTCCTAGGGTACCCTGTTGCCCGCTGCCTGTGGCTGAAGGTAGGGCTGTCTCTGCACTCACCCACTGTGTTACTGTTCGGGGCACTGGCTTCCCCGTGCCTCCTCACGTAGAGTGTAGCGATGACGGCTTCGTGGTCCGAGTAGGGGATGCTCTTGCCAGGAGCCTTTCCTGTGGTGGTCACCAGCCTGTCACACTTCACCGCAAAGTTGGACTGACCCTAGGAGAAGGGGTGACACAGGGCAACAGGAATCAGTATAACAAGGTCTGCCAGGCTGGTCCCCTGTCAACTGCACCCCTGACGGAGAAGCAATGGGACCCGCAGTGCCACACACAACTCCCACGGAGGAGCTTTTGCTGATGAACTGGTGCTGCTCCCTCACCTCGTAGAGAGGCTGAGGCAGGTGGTCTCATCCCCTGCTTCAGCAAGGACCTGTGACACTGCCTAGGGCAGGAGCCTTGATCATAAATGACAGGTCCTGGTCCCTGTGCTCAACCCCTCTGCTCAGGGGCTCAGATCTCAGAGCGGAGAAGACACATGGTTGTACAAACAGCATCAAAAGCAACAGGCCTTCAACCCAGCTGGGTGTGGGGTGCAGGACACAAGGTTGTGGGTGCTAGTATCAAGGCTGGCGATTGGTTCCCAGCACTGCCACTGACCCCCTGGTCTCCTTGGGTGAGACACTTCCCCTGCCCATGCCTCAGTGTCCACCCGTCTGTAGTGTCTGACCTCCCTCAATGCTACAGAAGTACCAGGGCTGTCAACAGCACAAACAACAGTAGTGTCCTGCCTTGATGGACCCTGGTGAGTCAGAGGCTGCTGACAGCCAGCTGGGTACAGGCCTGCTCCTGAAACACTGCTGCTCCTGGGGAGGATGAAATCCTTTGGGCACTTGCCACCCAGGGAGGATGGTGCTCTGGGGAGCAGCGGGAATGAGCCCCAGCTAGCTGGCGGGTGGGTGAACAGGGCTCCACAGGCCTTTGCCTCTGCCTTGCCACTTATGGAGTGGCTGCCTGATCCAGGACAGCCCACAGGCTTCTGGGTCTAGCAGGCGACCAAGTCCCCAGGCCCTCGCACCTTGTAAAGGATGTAGTCTATGCGAATCCCCAGCGGGAAGGGCTGCAGCTCCTTCTTGTCTGTGAAGCAGTTGTCTGGCACCAGGGTACAGCCGTCCTCGCAGCCCTATGGGAGAAGCAAAGTCAGAGCCACTTAGGCCCAGCCCAGTCCCCACACCATAGGCAGGGGCAGGAGAGCAGCCGGAGCACTGGGAGGCTGTTGGCTGATAGCAACTGGGAGCTGTTGCAAGCAGGATGCTGGAGCACTGGGAGGCTGGAGGAGCAAGATGCAGGCTGGGAGGGGAGCCAGGTGTTGTGGGCCAGCAGAGAGGGCTGATGTGTTGTGAGGTGGGGGTGGGGGGGAGTAGTACACAGCAGCTAGAAGGGACAAACTGGGGAGAAGTCTAGATGCGCTGATTCATGGTGGCATTTACTGTCCCCCCACACCCCGTAGCAGCCCCATCTGTCCCAGCACCCCCAGCCCAGGCCCTCAGGGAAAGCACTTGCCTCAAACCGCTCGGCATCAGTGAAGGAGTCCCGCAGCCCCGTCCAGGTTTGCAGCAGCCGGATCCCCACATCCTCAGGGTGCATGTTCAAATCCCCACCCAGCAGCACCACATCAGCTGCCTTCGAGGTGTGCCTGAGGGATGGGCAGAATCACGCAACTGGGGAGAGTGATGCAGTCCCCTGCCAGCACTGAGGGGCGGGACGCAACCTCCCCGCTACAAGGAGCCCCTGGCACTGCAGTGCTACTCACTGTACGAACTGCCCCAGCTCCCAGGCCTGCACCACTCGATGGGGGAGGTACGCATCCTTCTCCCGGCAGTATTCTGCATGGAGCTGGGGAAAGGGAGGACATGCATTGTGATTCCAGGCTGGGACACAGAGATTGGGCACCAGAGCAATGTGCATGCCAGGCCCCAGCACCACCCAGCTTGGGTGTCCTGAGGCAGGGGCAGGGTCTCCCTTGGGAGACAGCTCAGTCTGTAGAACCATTTCACCAGTGGAAAAGGTTCCCTGACATCCACTGGCTCAATTTCATCGGGTTTCACCCCCTCCACCATCAATGCCTCTCCCCCTTCAATGCCTGCAGTCTTCTACCTACCCTTAGTCGCCACTTCAAGGAGCCCAGCACCTTTATCCCATGGAGCTATGCTAAGGATCCAGCCCTTCCACTGCTCCTCTCGCATCAAACCCTCTAGCTCCTTGTTCGCTCCCCTTGGCATTCTCCATACACCCTCCAAACTGGCAAGAGCTTTGTGGGGAATTCACTGCTGCCCTTGGGATTTGAACTCTCCACCTTTGTAGACATCTTACTTCCTCTCACTAAGCTATGGGATATGTTCTGTGCTTCTCTCAAGGACATGGCTAAAGCCGGGCACAGGCAGGCAAAGAAACAAGATACAAGCATAGCACATGCCAATGCCATCACAGTTAGAAATCACACAGTGCCTGCTAAACACTACTTGTCTCAATATAAACCTATCACCCCAGAGAGCACAGGAAAGCATGGCAGGGGATCCCACATGCCCCTTCCTGGCATGGAGCTTGGACACGGGAAGCCTAATGAGCATCCCTCATGATGGGATCAGTGAGATGCCACCAAGCAACAACACCCAGCTGCTGCCAGTCCAGGCTAGTCCCCTCACAGAGAAAGGCCCTTTTTCCATCCAACAGCCCATGCAACATCCCTTGCCTGGCCCAGTGTTTTTCCAAGCACTCCCAGTCTGTCAGAGCCTGCCCTGCCCAGCACCCAGACTCACATGGGTCACATAGATGTTGAAGACGATCTCCTGGATCTTGAGGACAAGGAGCCCCACAGATTTGCCGCAAAACCAGTCCCCATGCTGGAGCTGCCAGAGCAGGTGATGGGAGACAAAAGGCTGGTTAGGCACAGTGATGGGTTGCAAAGAACTACTCTGGCAGCAGCCCCAGCTGTGGCTGGGCACACACTCACCATGTAGGGATAGCCATTGAGGGAGTACTGGTACAGGAAGGTGTCCAGGATCGGGTACCTGGAGAACACGCAGAGCCCACTGCCAATCACTCCACTGCAAAACAGACCCTGCCATCACTGAACACAGCCAGGAGCAGCCCCTCCTCATCCACCAGTTCCTACCTGCCCTTCATTCCTGGGGCGTCAGCTGGGGCTTCTGAATAAGAGAGAGCAAGGGACCCAGTGGTCACAACAGCAGGCTGGGAGCCAGAAGCTAAGGGTTATACAGGGGCCTAGGAGCTAGAAGGCCTGAGTTCTGTTTCTGACGCGCTCTGTGAATTTCGACAAGTCACTCAGCTCTTACAACTTCCAAAGGGGGATAAAGACTCAACCCAGGGGGGTTCTGAGAGGCAAATGACTAGCCATGGGGCTGGAAGATGCCAGGTGTCTCCTCACCATGGCCACCCTGATGTGCCAGATGCACGAGTCACTCAAGATAGCAGCACGATCTCAGCTCCACCTGGCTGCCTGCCCCCCCGGGAACAGGAAGATGACATGGACACAGGGCTGATGACAGTTTCTCAGCGCGGCATGGGCATGGGCAGTATGTATTCCAGGGCAGAGGCATCACCCCCAAGAAGCAGGTGACTGGGGGAGTTCAGAGCAGCTGTTGAGGAGACTTGAGCTAAGTTTTTATCACCTCTTTCATCCACATGCAGCAAGCCTAGACCCTCTATACACAATAGGGTGAGGGCCAGGATGGAGATGGAAAGGATGACCTAGCAACCTGTCTGGCTCCCTCTGATCTCTTTGGTGCTGCTTCCAATGACTGCTGGCTCACTGAACAAGCTGCTGCTTCCCCTTGGTCTGCCAGCAGTGGCCAAGGCACAGGTGCCCCATGGGTACAGGCCTCTTTCCCCCAGGAAAGCCAAGAACCTGAGATCACAGCCAGGAGTGCTTGCAAGGCCAGGGGCAGGGGACAGTGTTCTTCACACCTGAGGTCTGAGAGGATCCCTAGGGACAGAGATGATGAAAGCTTTGCCACAGTTTACCACTGCACTGCCTTCACCTTAGCAGGGGCAAAGTGCTCTCAGTGTAAGCCTAAGGTGCAGACTACACAGGCCATAATTACCACAGTTCATAATTAGCATCCAGCGGCCTCCACCCCAGGGCATTGTGAAAGCCATTGGTGGAACCTGGGATGAGACCTACTGAAGGGGGGTGGGACTGGCAGAGGCTATTGAACACAACATGCAGGGAAGATGCCATTTGCTAGTGATGGGGGGTGGATCCCTCTGCACAGGCTCTGTTTCAATCTTCTTCGAATACATCTGCTACGTGCCACCGTCACGGATGGAGCCAGAGGGACACGCTGCGTTCACATTCTGATGTCCTGTTCTTACAAGAGCAAAGGCCGTGTACCTGCCACAGCCCTTGGGCAAACACGGGGTGCTGGGGCCGGCTGGAAGGGTGCAGTGGTGTTTGTAAGGTAGCAAGCTCTTTAAATATCAGAAGAGGAGGCATCTCCTCCTGAGCAGGGACACTGCTGTCCAAGGTCTGCCTGGCACCAGACAGCCCCAGTACATTTCAAAGTCCACAGACACTAAATACCCAGGGAGACCTGATAAAACCCAGACTTAGAGACAGTGCTCACTGTTGCCAGGGACCTCCTCCTAGGCTGATAAGCAGCAGCAGGCTAACGAGCTCCTCTTACCTGCGGAAGTAGTGGGAGGAAGGGTAGCAGGCAGACAGCCTCTGTTTCAGCATGCAGTAGTCCGTCTCGCTCCACACCTGAAGGAGCAAAGAGAGGCTGAGAATGAAGCAAACTCACATCATGGGCCAGCAGCTAAGGGAACAGATCCTCAGTGCTTTGGCTTGAAGCCTCTTCCCTCCCTCCATTGTGCCCAGCTCAAGTCCCACCTGCTCTTGGTCCCTGCCACTTCCCCTGGCCCACCGTCCCTTGGGCCTCACCTCCTGGAGGAGCACCAGGTCGTAGCACTCTTGGCTCAGGGTGTCCGCAATCATCTGGACGCGCTCCTGTCGCAGCTTGCTCAGGTAGCGGATTGCCCTGGGAGGAGGAGACCCATCAGACAGAGGCAGTGACTCCAAGCAGGCAACGGTGCCCAGAGTGACTCAGGCCTGAGTGTTTTGGGCAGCAGTAGAGGAGAAGTGCCTCCTTCTGGGAGCCCCATGACTGGCACAAACTGCCTTGCAAGCACACACAGCACACTGGGGTCCCAGTCAAGAGATGGCTTCTCCTCCCTTTGGGATTGGGCAGGGGGGCAAGACATGCAATTTCCTTCAGCCCTTTGCATGCTCACCTCAGAGCCAGGGCCAGAGATGGGCTTGTGCTCCCCCAGCTTGTATCAGGGCAAGATGAGGTAGGTGGCTGATGTCCTAGTGAGGAACTGAACTGAAGCCACGACTAGGAACAACCCAGCAGAGGGAAGGGTGTGGGGATGGGAGAGGTCTGATGTGGGCTCCATAGGGTTTCCTGGGCCTGGTTCATGCCTGAAGCCTTGTAACCCATGGAGCCCTGCAGCAGAAAGCCCTCTGCAACATTGGTGGAGACAGGCCTGGAGCCCAGTACAGAGCCAAGGAGGAACATGAGTCTCCCAGCGTGCTGGGGGGAAAGGGTCTGTCAACCTGGGCCTGCACCAGGAAAGCAGCTCATTCCAGTCAGGAGGGGAGGTGCTGGGGCCAGGAGGAGAGCTTTACAGGGCAAATAAACCTTGATGGCAGGGCAAACTCGCCCTTCACAGGCCAGGGGCTGAGCTGTCCCTGGGCTGCAGCTTAACAAGGAGCCTTGCGTTATGAGGTCCTGCTGTACTGCCCCTAACAAACAGGGTGTCTGGTTTGCAGTGTGTTATGCACACTCCCCCATGCACTGTCAGCCAAGGGAGCCTGCATCTGGGCACTGGGTTCCCAGCCCCTTGGCTGGGCAGACTCTGGCAGAGTTCAGAGACAGGCAGCAGAAGGGCTACAAAGCCAGGAGGCCAGGCCAGCAGTGCTTGGTGTTAATCCAGCACCCTCCACACTGCAAGGGGCAAGGGGGTTTCTTACCCTACGTCAGATGAACCAGGGCATAAGCAGATGAAGTGACTCATGCAGCTCCTGGAACAGGATCCAGGAGTCTTGGCTCTCGATCCAGTAGACAATATGATCCGGGCTGTGCAGTGAGGGAACAGTGTCCCACACTCATGACTCCAGCACTAAGGTAGGTGCAAGCCATCCTAGAGGAACAGGGAGGTAGATCCACCCACACTTGACTGCTCTGGACCCTGCTTATCCCACGGGGCAGCTCTGGACTCACCAGCAATTGAGGTCGAAGACTCGCAGCTGCAGCAGAGGCTCCTTCTCCATCGTGGCTGGCGTGCGGGCAAACTAGTATCTCTGCAGTTCAAGAAGCCACAAGTCGCTCCTGCTCTGCTGGGGAAGGCAGAGAAAATGGGCTGGAGCAGGCTTGAAGCAGGGCCCCACCCCTGCCGTGTGCATTCACAGGTCGCCCGCCGACAGCTCATCTGCACAAGGAGACTTCAGCCTCTGGGAGGGGAAAGAGGATCCTGGATGCTGTGTAACTGAGCCTAGGCGCTGGCTGGAGGTTCATGAAGAGGTGGGGCCAGCCCAGGGAGCGTGTGCCGGTGCTGGAACAAGGGCAAGGCACGCATCCCTCAGCATATGGATGGCACGCAGAGGACGAGGTGCAGAGCCAGGATTTAGATCTGATAAGGATGAGGCATTAAAGGGGCAGGCACAGGTCAGAGCGGGCAGGCTACACCCCTGGAAACACCTCGGAGCCGTTGCCTTCCAGCGATCCTACATGCAACACGAACTTCCCTCAGCTCAGTGGCTCCTGGGAGTGGAGCAGGTCAGTGACCCTGCCTGGCTCCAGGTGAACCCGGCAGGCCTGGCTTTACCCGATGAGCAAACAGCTGCGATAACGAAAGCCTTGCTCAGAGGTGGTTTGTGACACAGGGAAGGACTTTTCTGGCACTCTGATGCCCAACCCACCTGGTGTTTGTGAATCCCACGTGGCCTTTTTAGAAATCTCAATGCCCTTGGAAACCCACCTGCTAGCAGGGCCTTCTGCTTGGTGGCCTGGAAAGTGGAATCCCAGCCCCACTTCCCCTCCACCCTAGTGCAAGGAGCAATGTGCCTTGCTCGATGCACTCCGAGAGGGTCAGGCAATGGGGCATGTTTATGGCACTGGAAAGCTGCCGACAGATGAACAAGAGGCAACAAGGAAGGTCCTGGATAAGGGATGTGGTATTACAGGCAGGAGGGAGGGGTTATTTGTCCCTGCAGTGACTACTGTGCCGGACTGGCACCCCTGGCAGCACACTTCCTCCTGACGGAGACCCCCGGTGCCACCGCTGCCCTGCAGGGCTTCCCTTGAAGCTCAGTGAGCAGCAGCTTGCCTTAGTGGTGCTTACACCTGTGCTGCACTGGCTTTCAGGTGCCCGTCGGAGTCAGTGCCACTCTACATAGCTGGGTGCTGCCTGGAGCTTTGCAGTTCCTCTAAGACCTGCTGCAGTTGCAAGTGTTCCTGCAGGAGGATGGGACACGGCGGCTGGCTCTGGGGAATCTGATCCTGGAACTGGAGCTCCGGTTTATTAGCCCCTGGAGCTTGCTACAAGGCTCATCTTTGCAGCCAAGCCCTACAGCTTGGCCTGAGGAGCTGCCCTCTCTCACCTTCTTTACTTCTGCTCCAGTGGGAAGGGAAGATTAAAATGTATGCCCATTAAAAAAGAAGCAAGACCTGTGCCCGTGCCATGGAAACTGGCACATTACGGACGACTGAGCTGACGTTAGCTGAGTGCAAACCCTTGGGTTAACGCACAACTTCACCGCGCAGGAAACCAGTTAGGATTAGTCAGTGTGCACTTGCTCAACACTGAGCACACAGTAATAACTCAGGGAACATTATTTATCCCCTTACATAATATTATTTATAGTATTACTAAGCTATTAATATCAAGAGCCCATCAAAGATCTATGCAACAGGGCAAAGAGATCTGCAGCACAACCCCAGGCTCCTGCTCCGATCTTTCTGACTTACAGGAATGTCTGGCACCAGGGGACCATGCACTTGTGTACTGAATAACACCAGGGTTTTAAGTCACTAAGTCAGCAAACACCCATGCTCCTCTGCACTGTGTAACCGTGCAGTGCTTACATCATCATCAATCCTGTTGCTGAGCCACTGCCTGGCTAATCTTTTAATAGCTCAGGGCTTCCTAATTTTGGATTTTATTTTTCAATAAAAGTTGAACCCAAAAGGTGCTACTCCTGTTTTACGAGGAGCCATTAGTTTGATAATCATCTAAGGCGCTGCTACGAGCAGGGATGATTTCCTGTCTGCAAACTTTTCTGTGAGAACACGGCTTTGTGCATGGTTAAGCAAGCAGCATTTTGCGTTCCTGTCCCAAGGCAGCTGCATTTTAGTTGCCATTTGGGTAACGCTTTGTCTCTGTGTATTTGTCAAAGAGGGGGGTAGATCACTTTGCGACTCTTCCACCCTCCCTCACCACCCTTTCTAAACACCATCCTTATAGTTATTTCCTTGGGTGGTTACTTCCTTTTAAAATATTCAACTGGAGGCCCGGTGCTGAGGAACACGTGACTGCTTGTGGGCTGACCCTGTGATCCCATTTCACCATGCAAATTTTACAAGGCACTTGTCATTTAGACCCCCGCCCCATCCCATAGCTAAGACTGGTCTTTTAAGCGTTTATCTCCAATCAGCTGACACGATGCTCAACTCAGTGTGTACCTGTTACTGATGATCGTGAAGTCGCAGGTAGCACTGTTAATTAGCGCTGCATAATTGTCTAGTGAAGAAAAGTCCCTAGCTGGAGAGAACATTTCCTATCCAAAGTGACAGACACCAGCCAAGCTCCAGGAGATCAGCCAGTGGATATCAGCAATTTTAACGGCAGCCGGTAGAGGGCAGAGATTCCTCCCCCAATTCAATGCAATGCTCCACCAAGTTTAGAACTGAATTCTTCCTACTATGATTTTGGTCTGATTTTCAGGCCCCAAGTCATTCATGAACCTGGCCCTATCTTCTTGGAACATGTCTGTGAAGCAGACGTAGTCACATGCTAATTCGGGCAACTCATCTGCGGCCGGAGCTGCTCTGCAGGCCCCTACGTCAAGGAAGTGACAACATCCTATCCGGTCACAAGCGTACCCAGAGAGAGGACAATGTTGCATGGGGTTCTGGAAAAATGATCATCTGGGCTAAAACTGTTCTAGTCAATACCGTGCCATCAGCAAGCCCTGCAAACAGTGGGATGCATGTGCTGTGCTATGGACTACACCACCCTGGCTTCCCTGCAATCAGCAGCCTCTCTACCTCCATACCCACCGTAGGGGCATTTTGCCCACAGCCCAAAACTCACTAGTTACACCTCTGGACAGCTGAGTCGCGGATGATCCCACTTTGAGCTGAGGGATGGACTGGATGTGACCTCCTAAGGTCCCTTCTGGCCTGATGTTTCTTTGACTCTGCATACATGGGACTGAGACACAGAGAAATTAAGTGCCTTATTCAAAATCACTTAGGGAGTCTGGGGCAGAGTAGGGAGCTCAACCCCAAATCCCAACCTGTTGCCTTTTATCATCCCTCCCTGACACGACTCAGACTGAATTAAAATCTGGGCTTGTCTTAAGGCCGAAAGCGTGTCTTTGTTCCCATCCGCTCAACTCTATTTAGAAAACATATTAAAAACACAAGTGTTAATACAGAACAAAGGGTTGCCATGGTTACTTCACATTTAAAACAAGTGGGATGAAGCACAGACGTCCATGGGAAACGTAATGCAGCTGAAAACTATTCTAAAAGTACTGCATGCAAGTTGACTTTGTGAGCAAAGGCAGCCGAGAACCGCAGTGTGGAAAACAGGGTGCTAGAATTAGACCACTTGGTCCCATGGAGTCAATCTAATGGCCAGTTTACTGGTTCTCTTGCCTCTAAAAATGGCTTTACCTGCTTAAACTGGCTGCACAGAGATTGACTCGAGACCCTTCTCCCATGTTGTGGGCTCAGTTGCTGCAATTGTCCTGGTCTACTGTCTGCATAACTGCTAAAAGTTACCACGTGCAGGGTTGTAGGAGTATCATAGTAAGGCAGGACGCTGGAAATGTGAAGTTTGTAGAGGGTGCTTGTCACCCACTGACCTTCTCTGTCACTTGTGCCCCCACTGCACCCCCCAGCGAGCCTGGCACCATCAGCTGTGCCTGAATGGATGATGATGGCGAGGGTGACCTGCTTTTAACCTGCCAACACCCACCTCACCCTACCACACATAAGCAGCTGCACTGGTTGGTACGTCATAAAGCACATATGCATAAAACACAAAATGCTACTTGGTGTTGAACTGCTCTATCCTCAGTGCACCAGCCTTGTGCATGGGACACTTGGCACAGGTTTTATTAAGAGCTCAGTGAGCATCACTGTATTAAATCTGTTCTGAGCAGTCGCATGCTAACGCTTCCTGAGGTTTCCAACAGGCCCAGCTCACTGAGTGTCGGTCCCAGCCTGGCACCGCACGGGAGTCCTAAATGCACCTCAGCGTGGTGCTGGGACGGACAAGCAGGACTTGGCACAGCAGGGTGTGGGGTCCCTGGCTGCTGTCCTGGCTTGCCTAGGACTTCATATTGCTCCTATTATCCCTGTTGCAAATCACTCCCATTGTCCTTAGCGAGTGCTCGGATGAGAGCCAGACACACAATACAGATGTGGCAGAAGCTGACACCTTAGCCCAGGGGTAGGCAACGCCTGGCACAGGTGCCAGGGCGTGGCACATGAAGACATTTTGCTTGGCACGTACACCTGAGACTGGATGGTGGGCCTGGGCTGCACTGCCACCGCCCCTGGCACGCCAACATCGTACAAGTCGAGGTTGCAGGTGTTTTTGGCACTCTGCCCGAAAACGTTGTGGACCCCTGTCCTAGCCAGATTCAAAAAAGCATTAGACATGTTCTTGGAGGAAAGGGGCATCAGTCCTTACTGAGCACAGGGGCAAGGGGCACAGTCCCTGAATCAGGACTTTCTAGACCTTACGGAGGCTGCAAGTGAGAGAGGAACGGGGGGAAAACCCTGGTCAGCCCCAGCTTGCCCTCCGCTCTCTGCTGCGCGACGTGGGCCTATCTGCTGCACAAACAACTACAAGCCCCTGCTTAAAAAGGGAGGCCACTGAGAATGCAACACCTGATCGCTTGGGACCAATGCAAAAAGAAACCAGGAAGGGGAGCGAGGTTCACAGGTTCAAAACGAGGGATGCAGACAGGGACAAGGAGCAGGGCGCCCCCGAGCGAGTCGAGGGGCGCGCAACAGGCCTGTTGGATCGGGAACATGTCTCGTGGGACACGGGAGACCGGGCACTGTGCGCCCAGGAGCAGACCCAGTGGCAGCTCCCATGTGCCGGGAGGGAAGTGACAGCAAACGCCAGGCTCTTTTGTGCCCAGCGTGGCGTGAAAAGGGGAACTCGTGGCCATGTCCCAAGCTCGGAGGAAAGGGGCGAAGGGCACGGCCTCCGAACCAGCTTCCTGGACCCTGAAGGCTGGATGTGGCGAGTGAGGGGAACCGGGGGACACCCGGGTCAGGCCCAACGCACCACGGGGAGCGATCAGCTGCTGCACTGCTGCTTCCTTGGGACAAAGAAAGCCCGAAGAGGGAGGGCAGTGAAAGTGAAAGGTTTAGAACCAGGAGGTGGGACGGGACAGCAGCCCCTGGTCCGGCCCGGCCTATCGCCAGCTCAGCCCTGGCGGCAGAGGGGCCAGTGGGTCACTCGGCACAAATCAGGATGCCAAGGGGCCGGAGCGGAGGCCGAGGGTTCAAAGCAAGCGGGCCGGAGCCGGCGGGGAACCACCTCCCGCTGCCGCCGCTGGGCCACATGCAGCCCGCGCCGTCCCCCCCCGGCTTTTCCCGCGCCCGCCACAGCACCGAACTCACTGCGCAGCAACAGGTCCCGCCCCGCCGCCAGCGGGTGCCCGCGCTCCGCCCCCCGGCCGCGCAGGGCATGCTGGGGGCTGTAGTCCACCTGCGGGACTACAACTTCCAGGGGCGGAGGGGAATGCGGGCTACGGGTGCCGGGAGGGAGAGTCCCCCCTCCTTTTTTTTTCTTTTTCTTTTTTTTTTTTTTTTTTTTTTTTT